AAAGTAACGAAAGTTATGCATAATACATTCAATAAAACAAGAATTCACAAATCCATACCAATATAAGTAAATAAATGAGAAAAAAAAAGGAAAACCTTTGTTTACATGAGAAAATACTAAGGTTATGAAACACAAAGACAAACTAAGAAAATGTTCCAGATGAAACAATATGTGATTCTAGGATCAGGTTAAAAAAAAAAAAGCTATAACAAATTTTATTAGTTGTTCTAATATGAATTTGGATTATGGATTAAACACTAGTATTGTTTCAATATTAAATTTTCTGAGTTTGATAACTTTTATGTGGTTATATAAGAGACTATCTCTATTTTTAGGAAATGAACATCAAAATATTTAGGAGTGAAGAACCATGATGTCTCCACCTCACTCTCATACACATACATTTATCTACATACCCTTTAAATGTTACTGACCATATATTAGGCATTACTTTTACAGTTTTTAATATGAAAATAAAATGCTAATTCCACTGGTGAGTATATATTTTATTTTATTAAATAGAAAAATAAAACTCAATTAGTACAAGATACTCTGGACTTAAGCTGGCTAACCATCTGAGATGGAAGTGAATGAATGAACAAACAAGCATGTATGAAATACCAGAAATAAATATTAGGTTAATCATATGCAACTGTGAACATTTTACAAAGGTTCAACCTAACAGTTATCAACCAACAAAAAAAAAAAAGGTACAATTAACAAATTCCTATTTTTAGATCTCTGTAGACAGGAAGTGAAAAACATAAATGAAACTGTATTGTTTCAATGTTGCACAAGTGCCTTTCAAACATTTTTAGTAGAACATTACATACAAAAGCAGTGGTCTGTCCATATATTTAAAATATACTAAAAGAGCTTGTTCTTTAAGATAGTCTTTTTAAGTGACAAGTCCTTTTTAAAGGAAGGTAATCATAATTATTATGTGATTTGGGGCATGCATTTGTATTTAAAAATCTGTTATTAATAGGTACATACCCTAAAGAAGTGAGAGCCATGACAAGAACAGATATATGCACACCCATGTTCATCGCAGCACTATTTACAATTACATTTACATTTACAAAAGATGGAAACAACCTAGGTGTCCATCAACTGAGGAATGGATAACATAGCATACACACAATGGAATATTATGCAATGATAAATAATAATGTAGAATCTGCAAAACACCGCATAACATGGATGAACTTGGAGGACATTATGCTGAGTGAAATAAGTCAATCACAAAAGGGCAAATATTGTATTAGTCCATTATTGCAAAAGTTAAGGAAAGGTTTTTCTATAGAAGGAAATTTTCTTTGTTGGTTACCAGGGGTGGGAGGGGAGGGAAAGGAAGGCTGTT